TTTATATTTTTTTTGTTAAATTTTAGTTATATTAACATATAAATATAAATTTTTATTTTTTATTTATTAAATTTAATAAATTTTTAATTTTATTGATTCAATTTTACGATTTTAATTTTATATATCTAACATAATTTTAGATAAAATCTCAATTTTTAGAACTTGCTAACGGCTCCAAACTAAAATTCAAAAAGCAGCATAATGCTTTAACCTTGTAATCTTGTCAAGGATAATATGGCTAAGTTTTCCAGCAGTTAAAATCAGTCATAATCGACTAACCATCTTGAAAATGCCTTCTCGATGAAAAAGTCAACAAGTTATCACGATCCAATTAAGTGCCTATTTTCCTATTAAAAAAAATCAAGTGCCTTTAGAAAGCAACATAATACAAAATTCCATACTAATATTTCCAGACAATAGGAAAAAAGAGGATTTATAAAAAAATAAAAAATAAAACACCCATATTAAGACAGGAAATATTAGTCGCACTCTTGGCTTTCATTTTTATGAAAGAGAGCAGTATGTATCTCTATCATAAAATAAATAAAATTAAAATTTGAAAAGAACGATTCCTCCAGACTCCACCTAGATGGGAGCAAGTGGGAAGCTAAAGATAAGAAGCAACTACAATTAAACCACCAAAATTGATTAAAAAATAATATATTTGTATGTAAATTGAAAAATCCATAAGAAAGAAATTTTTTTTAAATAATTATATTTAAACGATTTATTATTCTTTAATTCTTTAACAATAAATTAATAGTAGTTGATGAAGTAATATAAATGCTATCCAAAATGAACACGTACAATGAGTATATGAACACTACTTAAAAAACATTTAACGACCAAACTTTCAATTTCACAAAAAATTAAGGGGCCTCTAGCTCCCCCAATGACTAGAACCATTTCACAAGTATAGGTTGAGTATGTATTAATTATATTTTTGTACATTCTTATAATTAATTTATATAAAAAATAAAAGTTAGATTTAAATTTATTAACTACTAAATTAAAATTATTCATATGGCACTAATATTAAAAATAATGTTTATTTTTATTTTTTTATAAAAATTAATGTAAAAAAATATAATTATTATACCCTTAACCTATACTATTGCCGTACAAATTAAAAAAAAAATTCATTTAAGATTGAAGCAGACTAATTTACCCTTTTGATATTAAGTAATTATTATAGTTATTTAATGTGTAGATGAGGGCATAATTAGAAATAACGCAATTAATGATTTATTGAAATGTGAGAACGTCATATAAAATGAAACAAATATATAAAATTTTTTTTCAACATATTACAATTATTTACAGGTTAATTAGGGGATGGAAGAATAGGTTTTCGTGAGACTCAAACATGCAATCCACAAGAGGTAAACAACTCAAATCCAGGTTCAATGCCACTGGCCGAAGCAGCCGCTCCAAAAATATGTTTTTAAAATGACATAAGTTAAGATTGTAATAATTGTACTTTTTAAATATTAATTAGGAAAATAATTTAGAGATAATTTGTTGGTATTATTTTTTGGTACAACTTGATGTATCATTTAAATGATTTATTTTTTTTATTTATATGAAACTCATAATATTGAATGCATTCACTTATTTAATAATATGTAAAAATTGTATAAAAAAATTATATAAAAAATTATTCTTATAATACCACGGCATCGCCCTATTAATTAGTATTGCTAAAAGAAAAGT